AAATTAAACTAACTACTTTTAATTGTGAAATTACAACGTGAAGTACTTATTTTCGTTGTGAACTCACAACGTGCGTATATTGAATGCGAAATAATACGTATATGTATAATTGCATTTTACTAAACATATGTAACATATGTAAATGCCCGATATTGGGCGAATTCGTGTATCATTGGCGTCATAGGAACATTCCAGGGTCTTCGTTTTCCATGGTCTTCGTTTTCCAGGGTCTTAGGTCTTCGGTCTTCGTTTTCCAGGGTCTTCGTTTTCCATACACCCTTACGGGCATACAGAAATTGGTACACCGGCGACAGAAATACAGCGGTTTGCGTCTAATATTAATTACACAATAAACCTGCTTACAAGTATATTTGGTGTCGAACAATCTGATATCATTGTTGGACCTTCCAATGCTATAGAAATGATGAACTTTTTCTTTGAAGCAGTCAATGTAGAAGACCACGTTGGAAATCGTTGTTTGGCACCAGGAGATTGTGTAATCATGGATAATTGTGGTTTTCATCACGCCAGGATTGTCGAACCTAATTTGGAACATTTATTACAACAGCAAGGAGTGCACCTAATTTTTCAACCACCATACAATCCCGAGTATAATATCTGTGAACAATGTTTTCGGTCTATAAAATCGTATTTGGGGGGAAACCAGGAATTTTCCTATAGATTTACTGAGTTTGCTACAGCAGACGCCATTGGTCACATCACGCCCGGGGCAAGTCAAATTTTTGATAGAGAAAGTGTGATTTGCTTTCCGCCAAAAATAGGTCAATACGAACTGAAATGGAAGGCAACTTGTACCAGTATTAAAACAATATATGTTCACTTGTATTTCCTTGATGATTTGCAGACGAATAGCCTGCATTCGCCTTAAAAAAGCAATCTGTTCGCATAGATAGTCAAAAAAAATTTGATATGACATGCACATAAACTCGTCTTCTTTAACATAGATGGGAACAATTCTGTCCTCCGTGTAATAAGTAAAATGTAGCTTGAAAAGATATTCAGCCATTGTCCAAAGAGCATTGTAAATCAGCAATGCTGGTCAGAATTCACACTGTTCAAGCTAAAAAAACGAAATGTCTTGCGCAAACAATAAAAGAGAAAATGGCGCCTTGGACTCAGACAGGTATACATTGTATCAAAAATGTTTATGCTACAGTTATAATGTTTTGATTAGTTGGGATAAATTCAGTGGCAATTTTATTAGGTACTTGCTCTGATGTATCAACATTTACCACAATCTGATTGTCCATGTTTAGTGAAAACGATTGTAATTGTGTACAGGTTTGGGAATGTAAAATAATTGGGAAAGTTTCCGTTGTCGAGTCAATCTAAACTGTACAATATCAGCTTTTCAGAATAAGTACATACAATAATGACAGTGTTATACTATACGTTTTTAAAATAGTGTCCAGTTCTACACACACAAACACTACAGAGTTTCTTGATTATAAAATTAAACCTCTGGTTCTGAAATATTGTTAATAACAGAATATTGGTGCGCTGAATTGTTAATCGGGGTACAGCTGTAATTTAAACCAGCTAGCATAATGATATTATGACTATATTGTCTGTGAGGGTAAACAATGGTTTGATTGGCATGCCGAGTGTTATGGGAAGCAACCTGTCACCCCATTTTGTATGATTAACAAAAACCAGATCTTAAGATTATATTTTCATATATGGATATGGAATAGGGGACGACACACTGTCCATATTTGCGGGTGATCAAAACAAAACATTGTATACAATCAGTAGACTGGCACAGTCTGGACGTTTTTTTCTTTTTAAATTTAAAATTAAATGAAAAAATAGCGAAATTGTGGTGCGAAATCTCCTGTAACCGCGAAATCACCCAGACTATACTGGCCGAGCTGTGGTGATTTTTTCTGTATAAATAATTGGAAAAAATAGTTTTGCGAAGGGTGGGGTGAACGCGAAACCACCACCTTTAGAGGCACCCTTACGCACACGGAATCAAAACTTTTTCCTCGCAATGAGAAAAACAGGACAGACAAAGGCAAAATGGCGGACGAAGCAAGGCCACCAACTATTGAAGAAAAGTTTGCCTTTTTGGTCGAAAAGGTGGATTTTTTAATTTCTGTGTCAACAAAACCAGAAGAGTTATGAATTCATTCTTTGAGACCTACAGGAAGCAGATGGCAGATATCAAAAGTGAAAATAAGGCGTTGCATAGGAAGCTATTGTCAACTGAGGACAGACTGAAAGTGGTGCAAAGTGAAGTTGAATCTCTACAACACTACACTAGACACAATAATTTAATTATCCAAGGAATACGAGAAAGACAATATGAGAGCGCAGATGATATTATAATCAAAGTTGCCGAATTAGCTAGTGTTCAAATGTCCGAGACCGACATCGATATCAGCCACATCGATTATCACAAAAACACGACCAGTCATCCAGTATCATCGTGAGTTTCACGCGTAGAAGTATCAGAAATAAATTATACAGGGCAAAGTAAAATGTATACAGCAAAACAGCATCGCACTTAAACATCCCAGAACTACGTCAATCAAATAAGGGAATTTACATAAATGAAAAACTGACTGACAACAACAAGAAACTTTTCTACGAAGACAATATTAAACGCAAGTCGGCAAAATGGCAATATTTGTAGATACTGAGAGAGGGAAAATTTATGCCAGGAAAGAAAATGGATCTCCTGCAGTGAAAATCAACTCCTTCAAGATGTGCAGCGTATTGCCTTTCTTTTTCTATTTTCTATTTTATATGGTAACCATCTCTAATTTATAGCCCATGCATAGTCATGAACATTTACCCGCCATCCCAACACCAATATCACTGCAGTTCTTACCCTTGTGATGAATTTAATTCCATAATAGCCCACCAGAATGTATGTTCATTCCTACATTCAAATATTAGATCCATAACCAAAAATTTCGATGACTTTAAACATTTTAAAGCATAACTTTAGTGAAACTTTGTTAAACTCTCATTCAAACTTGCCTCTTTATAATATACCAAACTGTAATCTAATCACTTGTAACAAAGAAGGCTCACGAGGTGGGGGAGTTACACTATATATTCACAGCTCTTTGTCTTTTGAACGATTAACGCCTTTAAAATTATGCACTGTGATTCAATCTCCGTGGGAACTGAAATCAACAATAGCAAACTCATCATTAGTGTTAAGTACCGTAAGCCGAACACGCCATATCATGAATATCTTGACAGTTTAGAGGCATGTCTTAACCAGCTGTCCACTAATGGTGAGCATTGTTTAATCCTTGGTGACGTGAACATTGATATTTCAGTTAACTTTACATCTGCTACTAATTATCTCAACCTCCTCAGTACATATAACTTCGCTCAAATTACTACAACGCCTACAAAGGTTACTGGTACTATATAAACAACCATCGACCATCTGGTAACTAATATCTAGGACTATTTCTTTGATTGTGGTAGTATTATATATATACACTCTGACATCACCGATCATTTCCCCATTTTGGCATAATTAAGATCCTTGCTCATATTTTCAGACAAGATAATACCGTATTTAAATACGATTTTTAGAATTACAATGTGGACGCATTTTTGACTGACTTGGGCAAGGTTTCCTGGCAAAAGGTGTATGATTGTTTTTACCCAAATATGACATATACACAATTTTATGCCATCTCTTCGAAGGTATCATCAGAGCTCAGCTCTTAAGCCTTTGTTAACGAAAAGGCTCATTAAATCAATTAAAAAAACGTAGTTCATTAACCAAATTGAAAAGAAACCACCAAAATATAAATTATTATAAATCGTACAGAAATTTACTTACCAAGCTTCTCAAGTCAGCCAAAAAAATGCATTACTCAAATAAATTTTCACTTGCTCACGGCAATACCAATACAACTTGGAAAGTAATTAATGAAATGTTAAACAAAAGTAAAGGTAGTTCCACTCAATTATATTAAATCCAGCAGACGGTACGCCCCTGATCAGTAGTGCTGATATCGATATTGGTGAGGAATTTAATGAATTCTTCACCAACCTAACCTCGCAGCTAATATAACTAATGTTGGTGATTTTAGAAAATATCTTAACAATAATCAAATTAATTCATTCTATTTTCACCCTGTTTGTGTGGCTGACATTTTAACTGAAATCACTAAATTGGACCAAAATAAATCTGCTGGTCAGGACCAAATCCACTCCAAAACAATTATCCATTCAGTCAATATTATTGCGCGCCTCCTTGCTCACATTATCAATTGTTTACTGAGAAGGGTGTTTTCCCAGGGTAGATGTAATCAGCTTTGTAGTCCCGCGTATAGTGCGTCTTGGGGAGACAGCGGTGACTCATAAAATTTTCTTTGGGCTCATTTGAAGCATTTCTGTTCTGTGTTACGTCTACAAATATTGAGTGTTTTTAAGCAAAGTCGGTAAATTTCATTCGAAGTTACAAGTCTCTGTGTGATTATATCGGTTTCGTGAAAATGCGCGTATAGTTTAAAATCCATATTCACTACAAAAAACAAAAAAACGAGATTTTGATTTCAAACTGTAGCTGCCATCACTGTTACTAAATCTTTTTAGTAACCGTGCTGCCATGTTTATTCATTATTGTATAGTATGAAAAACCATCAATGACTCTTCAGATAACCCATCTTCAATGGAAGCAACACTCATGTCTGACATATAGGACATAGCAAATTCATTGTCGTCTCCATCATAGGCCGACACTATCGACTTTGAATCAAACACATCCACACTTTTAGAATCGTGTAATTCACCTGGATCAGGTGGATGTAAACGATGTGAAGGAGACGATGTGTCTCCCGAGGGAGGGGTATTGAGTAAGGGGTTCGTACCCTTTGCTCGTCAATTTCTTTAGAAGATAATCGTGAAAATTCATCACTGTAAACAATAGTACCTGGTACCTAGTATTATCATCACAATGATCAGTACGCGTGCCACCTAATTGGAAATCAGGTATGACACGCGTGACAACAGCTGTATAATCTTTAACACCAGTATCCATAGTCGTGATCAATTCATCAATTCTATTAGTGCTTCTAAAGTTTGTAGTGTTTATAGCGTCGATGTCGTTTTTTCAGATTATTTGTATTTTTATCATCAGTATCATCGTGTACATTTTCAATAATATTATCAGCAGTTATAATTGTATCAGTGTGTTCATCAGTATTATTTGCAGTTATGTCATTTATATCATTTGTATTATTACATGTTCCGATGTTGTGTCGGTTTTATCATTTTCAATATAAACTTATTTTGATTTTATTTTTATTACTTTTGTTATTAATGCCCTTTTATTTTATTATTTTACTTTGATTTTGATTTTTTTTTTAATTCCGCCCTACCTACATCTGATCCGACGCCTATGTAAGTCCCGTTCAAATCTCGCGTAAGTAACAGCCAATCACAGTCCCCCTTTTATACAGGCTGTCGGTTGCTTACTAGTACTTTTCAGTGTAGCGACACTCTACGGGCAATCTTTCTGTACATTATATTGTGCCCACTTGAATGAACCATTAATAGAAAATTGCTAGTATATTTTTATTTGCAAAAGAAATTCCACAGCATTTTACAATTTTTGTAATTACATTGAATATTTTTTTCACTTCCAACAAATGTGTGCACTTCCAGATACATCTTCGCCAGCCAAGGTTCGTTCATTCAGTCATCGCTTCAATTTTACATCACTGAGCATAATTATCTAGAATGGAAGCAAAAAAATAAGTAAATCATAATGATTAGAACACTGTAAACAGCTATAGTAAACAATGCAAACTGATTTTAAATTGTATAACGGTCACCGCCCCACGGCATCGACGCAAAAAAATTGAGCAAAAAAATATTTCCTGATCAATTGCGATGTGTTC